TCCTAACTTCCTGTGATGGAGATAGGTCCCAACTTCCTGTGACAGAGAAAAAGACAGGTCCCAACTTCCTATGATGGAGATACAGACAGATCCTAACTTTCTGTGATGGCGATAGAGACAGGTCCTAACTTCCTATGACGGCGATAGAGACAGGTCCCAACTTCCTGTGATGGAGATACAGACAGGTTCCAACATTCTGTGATGGAGCTACAGATAGGTACTAACATCCTGTAATGGAGATAGAGACAGGTCCCAACTTCCTGTGACGGAGATACAGACAGGTCCTAACTTCCCATGACAGGATAGGGGCTGGTCCTAACTCCTTATGACAGGGTGAGGACAGGTTCTAACCTCCTTTGACAGGAGGGAGATAGTTACCATCTTCCTGTGACATATTCTAACTTCCTGGGACAGGTTGGGACAGGGACCATCTCCCATGTCCTGAGCTCCAGGCCTATGATGCTAAAGGCAGCTGTCTTAGGAAGCAGGACCAAGGTGCAGAGCTTCATAGAACCTGGACAAGCATGTCCCAGAATGTTCTGCCATCTCCACTGTGTTTGGATTCTCTGTCAGGAGTGTCCTCTGTCCTGGTCTTTCAGCACATCTCCCTTTCGGCTTTTTACGCTTCCATGTCTTATGCTGGGTTACTTGGACTTACTTTACATTTAATGTTTATTGTGAGTAGGGTCTCTTTTTACCTCCTATGTATGGATTTGCCAGGACTGACAGGAAGTCTTATGTTCACTTGGCTAGTTACCATTCCGAGTTCTAAGAAAGGACAGCCTGGGTCTGAACTCCACGGTACTAAGGGTATGAGGATCAAAGACCCTGAAGGAGGGAGTCCTGTGGGGGAAGGGCCCAAAGACAGAGGTAGGAAGGAAGGTGGGCATGGATATTGCTGAGAGGCAGTCTGTCCTCAGAGACACTGAGGTCCAGGCCAAAGAGGAGTGTTTCGCATGCGCTGAGAGCTCGCTGCCAGAGAGAGGCCCTCGGAAGAGCAGTGAGCTGTGGAGGCCATGGAGAGCCAAGGAGGTGGGTGGGGCCCATGACTGAGCTTCTCTAGGTGCCAGCGGCAAGCTAGGAGAATCAGGGTTACCTTCCTCTAGCTCCCATGGCTGTCTCCCATCTTTCTCCCCACTCTAACGGGAAGCCAGGCTCAGTGAGGATGCATAACCTGTCCATGACCCCCAGCCTGTATGTAGTAAGGGGCAAGTTTGAGTTTCAAAGTTGGTCTGTCTACTTCAAAGCCTTCACACACACACATACACACACAAACAGCTGCTTCACACACACACATACACACACAAACAGGAATGGCCTGGATAGGTCTGATCAGCAGGTGGTGCTAGAGTCCGCCGGTGGGATTTCCACTTTCCCACCTCTCCCAGGGTGGTCTGTACTAACCAAGGACAGGGTTTTTTGGTTTGCCAGACGGGAAGGGTTATACCAGTGCGTGTGGAAGGCAAGGAATGTGAGGTGTGCGTGAATGTGAGGTGTGCCATCATATACCAGTGAGCTGGACACTCCCCACAGGGTCTCTCATCAGAGCACCACAAACCTTTCCTCACTCTAGGAGTTTCTGGGCTGGTTCCTTCTAGACCAAGAAGGGCCCAAGGCTCTTTAGCCCCAGCATAGTCTCGACACCCACTACATGCTTAGCAAAAGATCACTGCACATACAAACCTGTCCTTGTCTTTCCTGGTCAGTCCTGACTTCAATGATCATATCCTGTCCTATCCAAACGTATTGCAACACCCCAGAAATCACAACTGCTGTATCTGGCAAACTGCCTGTCAGACTGGGAACGGCACTAACATTTTTTCTAGCCAGTGTGTCTAGGTTGGGGATAGGCTCTCATCAATGAGTCTATTACAGAGCAGGGCACAGGTGACCCTGCCCTGGACCCAGCCTGGCATGGAGGGCTAGGCTCCTGGGACCACAGGTTCTGGTTTCCATAGGCGTGTCCTTTCATTATGTTATGTCATGAAACTTTCATGACACGCCTTAGAGAACAATGTGTCCCAATATTCCGGTTCAACAATTTGATCATAATACCCCAAGTTCTATGAAAATTATCCAAAGCCACCACATACCAGAGGGAAAAAAAAGTCCTCAAAGCCCATTCCCTTCTGGGAGGCACAAGCATTCTGGCCACCCCAGGCTGTCTGATGCTTGTGGTCATCCCTGCTGGAATCTTCCTGACTTCCTCACACTTGTTATTCTGAAGACAAGCTCCAGGAACTGGCCAAGGAAGAGAGGACATCCCTCTCCCCTGTCCACCTCATTACACCCTCAGGCCCAGAGATGTTTGCTCATGTCCCTTCCCTGTGAAGCAGCAACCAAGGGTCACCCAGCTTTGCTCCAGCTTTCAAGACCACAAGTCGTCAGGGGCTGGCCCCACTGAGGGGATAAGGAGGATATTTCCAGTGCCATTGAAGGCTCTGGGACAGCCTTGAACACTTCCTTCTGTGGCTAGGAGGGAATTGTGTGGGCAGGACCATAACAGCCTGGTCTTGTCCATGAGGCCGAGCTCTGTGGTTTGCGGCCCAGCTTGCTGGGTCATGCTCCAGTTACCAGCCCTTGGCTGCCGGGGACACTACCCAGACAAGAAAGAAGGTTTGAGGCCCAGAGAGAGAGAGAGAGAGAAAGAGAGAGTGAGTGAGAGAAAGCACAGAGACTCTTAAATCCTGCCTGTCAAGGCTCCCCGAATGAGCTGCTCTTGTTGAGTGTTAACCACAGAAGTGCTGGCCACTGAGTCCTTTCTAAATATGGCTCTTTTAGATTTTAAACATTGCTTTCTGAAGGTCAGGTGATAAATTTGTTAAGAGGCTCGGATTTGGGATTTTGGCTGAGAAAGAAAAGGGGCTATAAAATAGAAAACTCCAGTCTAAGGAATCAGCAGTGCTGAAGGGGGTGGCCCCTCCTTGCTTGGACCACTGACCTTTGTCCACGCTGGTATACCCTGGGTTGGCAAAGGAACGAGTCCTCTTTGTCAGTGACTTGTCACTGCAGCTCATTCTACAGCTATTGGTGTTCCTGTGGTCCCAGAGCAGCTCCTCCGACCAGGATAAAAATCCCAATGGTCCCTCAGCTGGAATTCTGGGCTTGGCCTCCATTTCTGGTGCCCAATGCTGGGCTCCTGGCTGGTTCATGCCTCCCCCAGTGAAAGTCAACAAGAAAATTGGAGAGAGTCCTATGGTGGACTTATGGAGAATGACAGAATCCCTTCTTTATCAGCCCCGACAACAGGCTGCTGAGTCCATGGAATGGGACAAACCAGGTGCCTGGCACATCAACTTGTCACTGAGCGGAATGTGGGGTCTAGATTTCATGTGGCACAACCCATTTCATTGCATGTGTGTCCACATTCCCTGCCCCTCTGCCTAACTCATTCCTCCTTTCACCATCACCCAAGTGTGGCCAACTCCAGGCAGCCCTTTGCCCACCCCACCCCCAGCTGGGGGAGGGACTCTCCTCAGACAAGTATAGGGAACAGAGGCCTATGCGGGTACTGTCTAGTCAGGTGTAAACAGTTAGTCCAACAAGTGATGACTTTCTCCAGTACTGAGGGGATGACAGAGGCTTCCACCACCAACATGACAGGTGGAGCTGGATTCTGTTGATTTCAGTCATAACCTCAGTGCACAAGGTCAACCCGCCCACCCTTGGGCTTAAGATCAAGATCCCCATGCAGGGCAGCCTCCTCCTCTCTTGTTTTCATGGCTATGTACGAGTTACAAATCGATGTTACAACCACAACCAGATTCCCGAACCCTCAAGTCCAGACACTGACAAAGACCTGGGAATGACTAAACTTCCAATGACAAACAGCTGCACAGCCTCAAACTAAGGACACGAAACTTTCTTAATGGCTCAGAGAAGCATCATCACTTCTCACTGGGCCGCTGCATAACCCACGAGCTCTTTGGGAGGCTGTGGACTTGCAAACCCAGATCTGGAGTGGCTTTTCCCTAACCTGAGCTCAGGAAGGAAGTAAGGTGTGGGGTTTTTCAAGCAGACAGAAACCCACGCTGAGAAACACAGTAGATCAGGGAAGCACCCAGGCTGGGGAATGAGCAACTCCAGCTCCGGAAGAATACGGGAAGCTCCAGGGAAGCCAGAGTGACAGCAAGCTGGAGGTCGTGCCAGAGCTGCGGCTGGGCAGCCACCTGAGCAGGGACACTACACTGACCCTCAGACAAGGTCAAGAGGCCAAAGTCTGGGAAACACAGGGAGCCCATCTGGGTGCCTGCTCTGAGCCTTTCCATGCTGGAGGGTGGGGTCACAAGTCCATAGCCCTGAGATCCGTCCTCAGCGTGGAGTTTCTCCTGAAAAAACTGACAATGGCCCGAAATGAGACTTGCCGAATAAGATGAGGGACAGGGTGGTATAAGGCATGAACCGCAGCCTCAAATGGATACCCAGGCGGCATGGGAGTGGATGAGCTTATCATGACATAGGGCCACACAGCCCCACATTTAGGACACAGAACCATGTTTAGGAACAGATCTTCAGTGCTGTTGTCACACAGGCACCAGCTGGACAGACTCTGGCTTTCAGGTAGGTCACCTAATATCAATGCTCCAGTAAGTCATACTGTCGTCCTGGCTTTTGCCTGACATGGAGACACTGCTGCCTGCTCAACCAAATCAGAGCACATTCTGACATCTGCATGTTACAGATGAGAAAATTGAGGCTCACAGAATTTGTCCAAGTTTCCACCCTAGGAAACAAGAAAGCTGTGGTTTCTGCCTGGCTCTGTGCACAAGCTTGGCCTCGGAGTCTGACCATAGACACCAGACTCATTTGCAGTTACCCACTTCGCCTTCTCAGACCAGACACTGGCATTTAGGAGACTGAGAACTAGGGATCAGTTGATCCTTGAGTGCTCTTATGGAAGGACACTGAGGTCACAGCCCATTAACTACCTGTAGGCCTAGGGGGCTGAGCCACCAGGAAAGCCAACACAGACAGACAATGGCAGGGCCCAAAGGACTTACGTGTCTCCAGAGCGGCGGTAGTTCTCAGGGCACTCAAAGGACAGACAGCGGAAACCGCCCTGGATGTTGAAGCAGGTCTCATTAATGGAGCAGTTGTGGATGCCAGTCACACATTCGTCAATGTCTATGAGAGACCCAAAGGCAACACAGTGAAGGCTGAGGCTACAGGAACTGCCCCCATCCAAAGGCGGAGAAGCCCAGGCCTCCACCAACTAAGGTGGGGCAGGGATCGGACCATCCTTGCCCTCCACTTACTGGTTTGTGGAGCAGTGCCCTATGCCAGCTCTTTCATTTATAGGATATTTACATTAATAGAGTATTGCCTTATCATTCACAATCCCTGGAATGAGTATAATGATGGTAGAAGCATCTATATGATTATATGATAGGCCCTGGGAACACTTAGCATGGATAACTCACCTCATCTTCCTAAGGATTAAATAAGGCAATTACTATTATGATTCTCATTTTAGGGAGGAGTTCACAAAGCTTAAGGACCTGCCCAAGGTCATATCACAATTCTACAGATGGCAGAACTGAGTTTCAAACCCAGATAGGCTGGTGCCAGAGTCCAGACGCTAACCACCCAGCTCTCTCTGCAGCTTCTAACACTTATCTCATGTGTGACATCCTAGGAGGGAAGGGGCAGGAGCTACCAGTTCCATATTACAATGAGGAAACCAGGTTTAAAGGAACTATACATCTTGCCCTGTGACCTGGGGTTGGTGACTGGGCTACACTGGAACCAGGCCTGGGACTCCTGTGATGGGGCCTGGGACACTAATGAGAGGCGCCTGGAAATGGGGAGCTACCCTTCTTCCCATAGACACTTCAGAACAGCCAAATGGTGGGGCTCAGGGGATGCCATGACAAGCCTGGGAGGCATCTGTTAAGAGGTGCCAAATGCCTGATCATCGGTGGCAATAACAACAGTCACCAGTCTGAAAGGCCACAGCTCAGGAATGTGTTTTTGCTGTGTCTGGGCAGGGCCCCAGACTGTGGTAAGGGAGCCTGGCCAGGAGAAAAGTCGTTTGCTCCATCAGAAATGAGAAAACAAAGGACTTCCATCCAGAACTCCGAACAAGCTGTGTGGGGTCCCTCCCAGGAAACACTGCAGCTCCTGCCTGCCTTTGATCCAAGTCACCTTCTTCAGGACCGGGGACTACATCTGCAGAACCCAGGGCCCTCTGGAGCCTCTGGATCGACATCCCGTGTGAGACTCAAGAGGAAACACCCTCATGACCTGCCTCTGTGATTCAGCTTCCAGGACCATTATGTACTCTGAGGATCACTGAGATATCTACTGAGCACACCCCCTCAGTTATCAAATGGATGGTCACAGGATGCTCAATGTGCCCCTGACTGTTCTTAGAAATGGAGGCTCAACACAGAATGGATGCCATTGGTCCCCCTATTATTTAGCCTATGCTGGAGCTGACCTCACAGCCATAAGTGTCCAAGGGCTATCCCACAGCAGGCCACACCCATCCTTTGCCTGGACAGTGACTAGTACCTCGGAACAGAGGCCCTTGACACCTTGCTCACTGTTAGCACGCAGGGCCTGGCCCACAGCAAGGGTTTGTTGAATGACTGAATGTAAGACTGAACAAACATGTACTACACTGAGGAATGGTACTCTAGTCACTGACCTCCAACTTCCTTCTCTAAAAGCTGAAAGGGCTACCAAGGGCAGGGTGGGAGGGCTCACGAGATCCTTTGCGGGGCTCAGACAACCCCAAGGACTGATGTACTGAGGGCCTGGGGGGGGAAAGAGGGGTGTGCATGGACCCCTGGACACGCCTGGGATGTGGAGGCCTCCTTTCTCTGAACACACCCCATCTGTGCTGTGGCTCCGGGTCAGGGAAACAATGCAGAGCCCCAGGCATGGCCTGAGCCACCCCAGGGGGTTCTGCCTACTCACCTTGGCAGTTGCGGCCATTGGGGGCCAGCCTGTAGCCGGATGAGGGGCAGCTGCACTGGAAGCTTCCAGGGATGTTGATACAGCGGTAGGAGCAGATGTGGCCCCCGGTGGGCAGGGCACACTCGTCAATATCTGCAATGGCAAAGCCCATCTCAGCATCCCATGTCCTGGCATATACCATGGCTGCTGGCAGGGCTATGTCCCATAGAGGGTAGGGCGGAGGCCCAAAAGGGCAGCAGCACAGGGTAAGCTGGACACAGGAGGCTTCAGAGATCATCACATCCCAAGGGGAAATTGAGGCTCAGAGAGGAAATAGGACCTGCTTAAGGTCACACAGCAAGTTCATCGTGTGAACTATGTATGTAGGGAGCAGGAGGAGAATGAAGAGCAGTTCATCAATAAAAAACACACCTTACATGAAAATATAATCACAATGACAGTGGCCCTTTAAGCACCTACAAAGTAGTTTTAAGTCATCATCTGGCTTAATCTTCCAACAACGTGGAGAGACAGGTCACTGAGGAGGAGGAGGAGCTGTGAGTCAGGGATGTGGGTGTCTCTAAGCCCCCTTCTCACTTCTCAGTTACATGCCGCCAACAAGCCCTGAGATGTGTGGTCCAAAGTCCCAGAACACATAGTGATCGCCACCATGGCTGGTCTATTAAAGAACAACTCAGAGGCAGAATGTGGCGGCTCATGCTTGTGAACCCAGCACTTTGGGAGGCTGAGGTGAAAGGATTTCTTGTGCCTAGGAGTTTGAGATCAGCCTGGGCAACATAGTGAGACCTCGTCTCTACAAAAAAGTAAAAAAACTAGCCAGGCATGGTGGTATGCATCTGTAGGCCCAGCTACTTGGGAGGCTGAGGTGGAAGGATCACCTGAGCCCAAGAGGTTGAGGCTGCAGTGAGCCGTGATGGTGCCACTGAACCCCAGACTGGGTGACAGAGTGAGACCTTGACTCAAAAAAAAAAAAAAAAGCAACAATTCAGGAGTGGTTTACTTCCTTCCTAATCTCACTCTCAAGGATAGGTAAAGTGTATTCAAATGTCGCATTTGGAGAACAGACAACAAACCACCAAGAGTCTTCCCTGTGGGTTCTGAGATGTAGAGGTTGCAGCTGCTGTGTTATAACAAGGCCTGGGGATGCTTCCCCCTCAGCGAGTGGGCGTGACCTCACCTTCACAGGTGACCCCATCCACATCACTGAGCTGGTAACCTCGCCGGCAGTAACACTGGTAGGAGCCGTAGACATTGGCACACTCCTGGCTGCAGGGGTTGCTGTTGCACTCATTGATGTCTGAAAGAGAGAAGGCCCCGGAGGTCACTGCTCAGCTGCATCACACGTCTCCGCCTCCAGAGCAGCCCTCATGCCCATGGCACTGGGGTCAGCAAACAGAACAGAGAGGAGTCTCCACCTTCTTCAGACGAACACACTTGGGGGGATGGAGGTGCCAAGGTGCAGGGTTGAGGGAGAGACACTCATGGCTGATGAATCTGGAATCTCTCCTTCCCCACCCCTGCCTGCTGCAAGCCATACCACCTCCCAGGTGGCTCCCAGGACAAAAATAACAGCCTCCAGCCTTGGACTCTCTACACCAGCCCCCACCGGGCCACCAGAGTCCGTTCTAGTTCCTGTCCTGGAAATCTGATTCTGTCCTGCCTTCCCTTCCCTGATGGCATCCTATGCAGATGAGGGCACATGAAGAAGGCCCTTAGTGACCTGGCCCGTACACTGATACTCATACTCCAGTGCTCAGAATTTGCTGGGTCACTCAGCAACTCTGGACGCCCATGTATCTGTTCCCTTTGCTTAGCACAGAGGTCAGCAAACTATGGCTCTTGGGCCAAACTGGCCCACTGCTTGTTTTTTTATGTAAAGTTTTATTGGAACATAGCCACGCACATTATTTGACCACGATCCTCTGGCTGCTTCTGTGCCATCATGATAGAGTTGAGTAGCTGCAACATAGAGAGTAGCTGGCAAAGCCTAAGATATTTTCTAGGTGGCTTTTAGAGAAAAAGCTAGTTAACCCCGGCCTGGAAGTCCCTTCTCACATTTATTTACTACTAATTCTTAGCAGGCCAGGAGGAAACATCCATTAGCCTTCCACTGCGTGTTTCATTCCTTTGATCCTTACACACCCGGCCTGGCCTCCACCTGCTCACATGTTCTTAGGAACAAATCCCAAAATCTTCGGGGAAGCCTAGGAACCCGGACCCATCACGTTGTCCTCCTCCAGTTTCACAGTTATGCTTGCTATAGCACATTCTGATGCATCCGACTCCTATGACCATCTCATCAGCAAGGACTCCTTCTTAATCCAGAATTGTGAGGCCTGCCGTGTTTTGAGTTTGGTTGCAGAAGCTACCCTCTGGGTCGGGGCAGATCACTGAGCGGGGCATGGTGGGCAGCATGAGGGATTGCAGAGGGTCACCCAGAGCTCTCCATGTCTGCTGACCTCAGAACTAATCCCCAGATCTGATGCGACATCTGCTGGGCCCCCATGATATGCCAGATCCTGGGTTGAACATACTGTTCATGTGATCATGGCCCCATATCCCCACCAGCCCAGAAGGTGGGTGTTATCTGAGAAACACAAGCCTCTTGGCACAGTTGACTCTGCTGACTCCCCAACACCAGGAGACTTGACCCAACTTTAGCATGGCTCCCACTGGCACAAGACCATGTCCCTGGGGTGAGGACCCAGCCCCATAGGATGCCTGCCTGAGAAAGCTCAATGCTGCTGAAAGAATTTTCTCTTGGCTCCAGCCCAGTTCTGGCAGCAGGCCCTGACTCCTGCTTCTCTTGGAAACATCCACTTTAGAAAAACTTACAAATGTAAATCTTCTCTGTCCCTTTGAGAGGTATGTTCTACAACCCAGGCATGCCTTTCCCAAGGACCTGGGAGCCATGCCTGTGGATGTCATCATCAGGTGGGCTAGGGCCCTGGCTCCCAGTCTCTGTGGAGCATAGAGCCTAACTTGGACAATGGCCCATCAGCAGATACAGACAGCCTAATCTCAACGGCTTTCAGTACTCAGGCTCCAGCACTTACAAACTCTCCCTCCTTTTGTTCTAGCGAACTTGAGATCAATGTACACTGAAGTCTCTCTCCCTGACTGCAGTAGTCTGAATAAAGTCTGACAAATGCCCAGTTTTGGTTTCTCTTTGATGCACCAGTCCATTTCCCCTGTGAGGATACCAAGGCAGGGTGAGATCAGCCATCCCCAAGGTCACATAACTAGTGGGCCTCACGCCTCCAAATCCCACACTCATAGCGTATCATGGCCTCCTCAGCAGCCTGTGACTCTCCACATGGCCCTGAAGGGCAGATGCTACCAGGAGAAATTGGGGTGGATGGGCAGTCCTCTCTGTGAGAAATTCTTTTACAGGCACTTACCCGGCTGACATGTAATTTAATAGGTGCTAGGGCCGGGCTTGGTGGCTCAGCCTGTAATCCCGCACCTTGGGAGGCTGAGGTGAGTCGATTGCCTGAGCCCACGGGTTCGAGACCTGCCTGGGCAACTTGGCAAGACCCCATCTCTACAATAAATCAAAAAATTAGTCGGGCGTGGTTGTGCGTGCCTGTAGTTCCAGCTACTTGGAAGGCTGAGGTGGAAGGATTGCCAGAGTCCAGCAGGTCGAGGCTGCAGTGGCCGGGAGTGGCCACTGCACTCCAGTCTGGGCGACAGAGTGAGACTCCAACTCAAAAAAAAAAAAAGAAAAAAGAAAAAAAAATGTGCTGGGAAACGAATGCAAATTAGCCCCAAACTGGTCTGCAGGAGTAGGGTGACTTTCCCCAAAAGAAGGCAGCCTGGGGGAAGGGAGCAGATGTGGTCTGCAGCCTCACCTTCACATGACCGGCCATCCACAGAAAGCCGGAAGCCCACAGAGCAGCTACAGACATAGGAGCCTGGTGTGTTCTCACACCTGTGTCCACATAGGCGCCCGGGGTAGCGCTGGCACTCGTTGATGTCTGAAAGCAAAGGGCAGGCCAGCTCAGGACAATACCCACCCCACCCACAACAGTGCCCCACTTGCCCACCTGCCAAGGGCAGCAGCCCCTGTCCATCCCCCACCTCCTCCAGCCTCACTCTCAGATGAGAGAGGCAAAGTGACTTGTCCCAAGCACACAGCAAATCGGTGAGTGAGCTGGGACCACCCTGGTGTGCCTGCCCACTGGGTGAGACTTGCAGTTCTCCTGCCAGTCCTTGCCGTAGGGCCCACAAGGAGTGTCCACCAGGATCTGGAAAAAGGGCCTGTGGGAGTGAAGGGATGGCGCGTGGGAGCAGCTTCCAGGCTGCCCTAAGCCCCCTGGTTTGGTGACAGAAAATGCTGACTGGCAGGGTCTGACCCCACTCCTGGTCACCTTTGGCTCTCTGGCTTTCACTGCCGGGACTAATTGCACATCTCTGGTTCCTGCAGGTCAGAGGTGAATCTCTGGAAAATCATTAACACCTTTGATTTCTGTATACCTGTCTCATCAACACGTGGAGGTGTCGGTCAAGCAGACCACCTGTTCTATGGGTGAGGAACAGGCTCACCCCTGGGAGGGCCTTGCCCGTAGCTGCCCAGCTGGGGAGCAGCAAAGCTAGGGCTAGAATGGGGTCTCTTGACTCGGGGTCTTCCCTCGGGGTCTGCCTGCACTTGGGATTTTCATCGAGGAGGATCAGACCATGGTCACTCCAGATGCCACAGACTGTGTCCTCTTTGGAACCACCGGTCGGGTACCCTGCGGCCTGTAGGGGACACCTACATACCCACACAAATCCTGCTGATGCCGTCGAAATAGTAACCAGCCTTGCACTCGCAGCGGAAGCTGCCGGGGGAGTTCATGCAGCGGTGCCCCTTCCCACAGGGCTCAGCAGGTGGCGCGCACTCATCCACATCTTGCAGAGGACAAAGAGAGACATGTTGAAAATGCTTTAGTGTGGGTCTTCTTCCCCCCAAGATGATCAGAAAGGAAGGCAAGAAAGGAACAAATGAAATGGGCACTGACAAGTATCACTTTACTCTTCAACACAACTTCACAGAGCATCTACCACATGCCAGGACCCACGCCAGGGAGACGTCTAGCCAGCCCAGATGCAATGCCTGCCCTCAGGGAGACCTGCTTTGGCTGGCCAGGAACGATCCTCATCAAGGCAGGAGCTTCTCATTAAGGCAGAAACTTGGGGAGACGTTGAGCAAGTGCCCTGAGGGTCATGGGAAGAAGACGATTTCCCTGGCAGGGATCTGCACAGGCAAGATGTTTTGGATCCAGAGGAACGTAGGAGCAGGTTGCAGAGGGAATTATGTAACAGAAAAAAAACCACACAGAGGCTGGGTGCAGTGGCTCACGCCTGTAATCGCAGCACCTTGGGAGGAGGATCACTTAAGCCCAGGATTTCAAGACCAGCCTAGACAACATAGCAAGACTTCATTTCTATGAAAAAAAAAATTAGCCCAGCATGGTGCTGCATGCCTGCAGTCCCAGCTACTTGGGAGGTTGAGGCAGGAGGCTGAGCCCAGAAGGTCAAGGCTGTGGTAGTCCTGATCATGCCACTGTACTCCAGCCTGTGACAGAGTGAGACCCCCAATTAAAAAAAAAAAAAAAGAAAGAAAAGAAAAGAAAAACAAAATCCAGAGAGGAAAGGGCAGTTCTTGTTTGGGAAACAGCAAGACCTATTTTGCCTAGACTATAAGGTTTGTGAAGTTGGGTCAGTTCAGGATGATTGGATTATAAGTAGGAGTCTCTGTCATTTGTCACCAGTCTGGAGCTGCTGAAGAGATGAAAGCGGGGGAGGGGTAAGAGAGCCTTGGGTTAGGACAGGCTGCACAGACAGGAGGAGACAAGGTTGAGGCACGGATGGGTCGATGTTCTGCTACAACAGTCCAGGTGAGACCATAAAGGCTTGTGCCTAGGGACTGGCAACAGGATAGATGGACAGGCAGAAATGGTCTCTCTCTGGGGATCTACTCTCCCCTTCTAGAGAAGGAAGGATTTGTGCTGGAAGCAGACAGAAAAGTCTTATTTCAGATTTTTCCTTTTAATACCAACCAACACAACGCGTTCCCTCCTCATTGAGATGGTAGCCACGGCCACAGTTGGGCACATTCTTCTGGCATGTGTAGGAGCCCTCCGTATTGATGCATGTCTGCCCAACAGGGCACGGGGCACTGATACTTAAGCACTCATTGATATCTACAGCATGAAAAGAAGGAGACAACATGGTTAAATATGGAGGGCATCCAAGATCCCAATAGTCAGATCTCCAGAGAAAATCCCCTTCCTTCTTCTTGGTAAAATCACAAATGGAGGTGCTACTGGCTTTCAAATCCATACACCACCTCAAATACCACCTTCCTGGTGCCTCTTCTGCCCCTAAACCTCCAACACCTTCACCTTCACTACCCCAGATCCGAACCTGCCTGCCTGGCTTTTCTGCATTCACATACTCCACACAGGTAGATGGAGCTCCTTCCCTAGCACAATGCTGTGAAGACAGGTGACCGTCCACTCTGCACCAGCACTCCCCAGCAGCCCTCAACACTCAAGCCCTAACAACATACCTTCAGATCCTAGATGGGTCACTCAGGGTCCCACCTCCAGAAATGCCCACCCCCCTTGTCTGTCTGGTACCCACACCTTCCTGCCATCCCTGTCTGCAGTCCATGGGACCTGTGTTGACTCAGGCCCAAACGGGAAGTGCCGCGATTCCCTAAGATCACTCCACTGTGGTCTCCTTCCTCAAGTGGACACACCTGTGACATGGGGACTGTGGAGCATTCACATGATGAGCAATATGAACCAGTGACTGACCCAGGAGGATGAGCTATGCAGCAGTTTGCTCCTGGTCAAATTAGGAGTAAAAGCACACGGGCTGTGCTTCCTACAAGACAAAGTCTTTTTAAAAAATCAACTCTGAAAACCACCTTATTTTTTTGTTTGTTTGTTTTTGTTTTTTTGTTTTTTGTTTTTGAGTAGGAGTCTCACTCTGTCGCCCAGACTGGAGTGCAGTGGCTGCTCCCGGCCACCGCAGCCTCGACCTGCTGGGCTCCAGCAATCCTTCCGCCTCAGTCTTCCAAGTAGCTGGAACTACAGGCGTGCGCTACCACGCCCGGCTAATTTTTGATTTATTGTAGAGAGGAGGTCTTGCCAAGTTGCCCAGGTGAGTCGAAAACCACCTTATTTAGACACTTACAAAGCATCTGAGGGGTCAGGGAACCAAGAGAAGGGAGTGACGGGGGAAGACCTCTGAGCATCAGTCAAAAAGAGGGGCAGCTGTGCCTCTCTCTTTGCCAGTCCCACCCACCCTCCTCAGTCAAATGAATCGGCCCCGACTCCCTCCTCCCTGAAGTCAGCCTTCACACTGATTGTGCAGCACTTTACAATTTATAAAAGCTTTGATGTGTATTAATACCCATGACCACCATATCTAGCCTGCAAGTTAGTACTGTCTGTACTTTATAAAGAGGAAACCAAGGCCCAGGGAGATTAAATAAATCTCTAGGCTCATTGCTGGCGTCCGAGGTCGACTAGGGCCAGGTCTAGACTCAGGGTATCCTGACTCCCAGACAGTACAAGGTTGCTTAACTCAGTGATCAGCAAACTACAGCTCTCGGGCCAAATCCAGCCTACTGCTTGCTTTTATTTTATTTAGCTATCTAATGCTTTAGAGACAGTCTTTCTCTGTCACACAAGCTGGAGTACAATGTCATGATCATAGTTCACTGCAGCCTTGCACTCCTGGGATCAAGCGATCCACCTACCTCAGTCTCCCAAGTAGCTGGGACTACAGGTGCACACCACCATGCCAGGCTAATTTTTTTTTGGTAGAGACAGTGTCTCATTATGTTGCCTATTCTGGTTTCAAACTCCTGGGCTCAAGCAATCCTCCCTCTTGGTATCCCAGAGCACTGGGATTCCAGGTGTGAGCTACCATGCCCAGCCTCACCCTGATACATATTGCCTACAGCTGCTTTTACACTGCAACAACAGAGTTAAGTGGTCCTCATGGAGGCCAGATGGCCCCAAAAGTTGATACTTACTATTTAGCCTTTTAAAGAAACAACTGGGTGGCTCCTACCTTGAATCAAGAATAAACACAGCATTTAGCAAAGTGGTCGCTGTCTTCCCCCTAAGTCTTACTCTCACACTACATTTCCCAAACTCTGTTCCCTGGAACATTAGTGTCCCTTGGGACATGGTGTGCTCCACAGAGAGGATGTGCCCTGGCCTGCGAGCTCCACAAGGGTAAGGGCCAGGCAATCAGTGAATGAATGAATGAGTGAACAAATAAGTGAATGGGAGAGTGAATAAACAGAACAAATCACTGTAAAAGGTCAGACGAGTTTGGGAACAGTGTACAGTCTCTCCCTTTTAGAGATTCACATGGGAAAAGCCTGGGCAATCCCAGCTGTTAGGGTCACTGCGCACCGGTTAAGCTGGTGCTTCCTAAACTCAATGGAATTTTTCCTTCCCCAGGAACTGTGACCACCCCCAGGCCAGCCCGTGGGAAGCCCTGCTCTGGCCTATTCCCTCCTCCCCACTAAAACAGAAGGGAGGACTGTGGCCAGGGGTGGGGGGTAGGGGTGGGGCAAGATAAGGTAAAAAGAAAACCCTAGTGAAGGCATGGTAGTCTCAGGGCCCTCAGTGACTCCACTTCAAGGTCCTGGAAATGTTTTCACCTATAATAGGATGAGGCCTCTGCTTCCTGAGACCCTAACCCGTCCTATATGCCCGTCCTGCAGCAGGGTTCTTCTGCTATAGGCTGCCCACTGTGTGGCTAGAGGAAGGTCAGACAGGCTCCTGGGGTCCTGGGAAGTTTCCAGGAGTTCCAGGAAGAGGGATTTTGTCTACATGTGGAGTCAGTGCTTCCCACACTGTTCCAGGGCCAGAGAGGGTGCCACTGGCAGAGGTGGTCAGCAGAGGACCCAGACTGTGTGCAGGGGAAGGGGACCAGGACCAGAGAGCTTTTTCAGTCCCTACCCAGACGGCCTGAAACTACCTTCTATCTTGATATACTTTCTCCTTAGAATTTTCTGCCGATGCAGCGATTTTTGAAAAGATAACATAAAGGTGCTGATGTAAAGTGATTTCTAAATACTTTGTCAAGTGGAGAAGAAAGCAAGCGGAAGAACAATCTGGTCCTATCTTCATGAAAACCAAAAAGTTTCCAGAGAATAGAGGGTGTACAAATCTTGCCCAGTGGAAGGCAGGACTGGGCAGAGAAGAGTTTACTTTCTGCGCTTAGGTTTTGTTTGCTTATTTGTAAATAAAAGCATATATTGCCTTTTTTTTTTTTGAGTCAGGGTTTTACTCTGTTGCCCAGGCTGGAGCGCAGTAGAACGATCAAGGCTTACCGCAGCCTTGACCTCCTGGGCTCAGGCAATCCTTCCACCTCAGTAGCCCAAGTAGCTGCGATTACAGGTGCACACTTCCATGCCAGACTAAACTAACAATTTGTAGAGACAAGGTCTATGTTGCCCAGGCTGGTCTTGAACTCCTAGACTCAAGCAACCCTCATGCCTCAGTCTTCCCAAATGCTAGGATTACAGACATAAGCCACCACACCCGATGGAAATAGAGATTATTATTATTTATTTATTTTTTGATTTAGAGTCTCACTCTTGTCTCCCAGGCTAGAGTGCAGTGGCATGCTCATGGCCACTACAGCCTCCACCTGCTGGACTTAGGTAATCCTTCCACCTCAGCCTCCAAGTAGCTGGAACTACAGGTGTGTGCCACTATGCCTGGCTAATTTTTGTGATTTATTGTAGAGACGAGGTCTCACCAAGTTGCCCAGGCTGGTCTTGAACCCACAGGCTCAGGCAATCCTCTCTCCTCAGCCTCCCAAAGTGCTGGGATTACAGGCTGAGCCACCATACCCAGCCGAGATTATTTTTTAAAAGAGTGAGTCCTGAACTTGGTTGCCAGGACTGAGAGCACACAAAATGGGGACCTCCCCAGGTATCCCAAGCTAAGGGGACCCACCGAGAGTTGAATGCTTGGTTTTGGACGCTGTCACTGAGAATCCAGAGAGGTGATGTGAGAGATTTAAGTGCTGCTGGGTTGGGCTTCAGCCAACGTCCCTCCTGCCAGCCTGGACTTGTCAGGCAGCTGGGCTTCCCCCTAGTCTAGGGAAGGACAGTGAGGAGACAGTTCCTTCTTTCCGTAATTCCTACGCCTCAGTGCAACACCCGGTGGAGGGGAAACCAGGGCTGCGTTAAGACTTGCAAATGCTGCTGCTTTGTAGAAATTGAGGCTGATTTTTGCCATGAGTCAGGGTTTCCATCCTCAGCAGATGCCAGCCTCCTTCACGGAGCCCCCTCTAAGCAAGCCGCAAGTCTCAGCAGGACCCTCCTCCCTCCTGGCCCAGGAGAGCCAGCGGCCTCCCAGCTCACTGCCCTCTGTGCTAAGTGACAACTGTCCCTGCCCCAGACCCACTGGCACACAAAAAGGGGTCCTCCAGGAGACTGGCGGGGGGGGGGGGTGAACTGGCAGTCAAGTCAAGGTCCCTGAAGCTCAGAAGCCTCCCCCAGGTGATGAAAGGAAAAGTTGCCAAGAGGAAAGTCTGGGTGTGGTTCAGAGGAGGCCCCTATCTTAAGAGCTCACTCTTCTACTTGTTTTTAAATGGGTGGTTTAAAAAGCAGGGTAGGAGACAGAGCTTTTAATCCATTTAAAATAAATGATCAATACAGATTTAACTAAGAAAAGGTTAAGATAGAAACAAGACAGAAATTTGCAATCTCTTGCTCACAGCCATGCTGGCCTGTTGAGAGGAGGGATAACATACCCTCCCCCCTTAGGGGGGTGGCTAGTGGCATCTGCCCCTCAAAGTCCTGTTATTTTCTCTGGAAAACTCTCTCTGACCTCAAAGGCAGGAGCTTCTGCCAAGCACAGGGTGAGGAAAGGACCCAGATCTGGACTCAAGTTGACAGCAGTGACCGAGCCAGGTGGTTAACCTGAGTGACTCCAGGGAAAGCAGGTCTCACCCCTCTTTCGGAAACAGGTAACCTGGCCAGCCAGCTCCCTGGCCCTGCCACGTGCTGCCCCTCCAGCCTGAGCAGTCTTACCCAAGCCTCCTAAGTTCACATGGGATGTTCTCTCCTCTCACATTGGTCTTTCTCAGATCAACAAAACTGAGTGTCTTTTTTGGGTGTGTGATGAAATATATGAGTATGTAACACAAGATATGCCATTGTCACCACACTGAGTGGCATTCACACTGTTGTGCAACTGTTACCACCCTCCATCTCCAGAACTTTTTTATCTTCTCAAGCCTGTACCCACGAAACACTAGCTCCCCATTCCTTCATTACCCCAGCCCCTGAGGACCCCCATTCTACTTCTCGTCTCTACGAATTCAACTACCAACATAGAGTATTTTTAAAAGCAATTTTTAAATAGGCAAACAGTGCTTCCCACATAACAGGCACTTCACAAGCACTTGTTTAATTCTTGCCTCAAGCCTATAAGTCAGATATTATGATTATTCCCATTTTATAGAAGAGAAAATTGAGGCTCAGAGGAAGTCATTTTCTTAAGTTACTCAGTTTAAAACCAGGTTTCTCTCACTCTAAAACCCAAGCTCTTTCAGTTAAACCCAGGAGTCAGAAAACTGTGGCCCTTGGGCCAAAGCCAGCCTGCTGTCTGTTTTTGTAAATGAAGTTTTATTGGAATGAGGCTATATCCATTTGTTTACATTTGGCCTGTGGCTGCTTTTGATGATGATAGCAGAGCTGAGTATTGCCTCAGAGACCATATGGCCCATAATGCCTAAAATATTTGTTATACAGTCCTTTAAAGAACAAGTCCGCCAACCCCTGTCCTGTACACACCACACGGCCCCTCAGATTCCACGGGCCTGACCCAGAGTTGGATCACTGCCCCCCTCCCCTAATTCTGGCGGCAGTGTGTCTTACCAATACAGTTGCCTAGAGCATCTTGTATAAAGCCGCTCTTGCACTGTAGCTTGGGTCTGCAGCGGAAGGATCCCAGAGTATTCTGACAGATAAAATCGGGGAGGCAGTTATGAATACCATTCTCACACTCGTCAATATCTGGTACATCATAAAAAAAGGAAATTGTTAGCAAGAGTCCTGCCAGAAGCATCTTACAACACTTTAAAATCACAAGAAAGTTTTTTATTTTTTAAATGCTCATTACTCAGACTACAACCCCAAACATTCTAAAAGAAAGGTCATGCACAAAAAGGGCTTCAGCGAGCCAAACAGTGCTCAAGTTGCTAAAGACTTAACATGCGGACTTTCCCCCAAGGCTCTTAGGAAGCAAACTTTCTGTTATATAATAAATAACCCAAGTGCTTTTCTGGCAGATGGACATATTATTATTCATTCAGGCTAAGTGTATGTTTAGTTTAGATCATAAGGCAGTTATCTTAGTGGCAACAAACACACTCTCTATAAACTTATTCATTCTGAATTCTTCACAATATTCCGAATATTAACAATGGTTACTATCATGATAGGATGTGATGGGCTGCCCTTCCCTTGAAAGTTCACAGCTGCCAAATATTCAAATGCGAATACTCAGCTGGTTTGGCCACTGGGCTATCGA